TGTGTGTGTGTGTGTGTGTGTGTGTGTGTGTGTGTGTGAATCTACTCCATGTAGTCTTCTAGGCACTTTATATGTACTATTCCTCTAAGTTATAGGACAATCCTATGAAGAAGGCACTAACAAGGGGCTGGGGAGATGGCTCAGTGGAACAAACGCTTCCCTGGCAAGTGCAAGGGCCTGAGTTCAATCCCTCGTTCTGCAAAAAGAAAAAAAAGAAGAAGAAGGCACTAACATTAGCCCTTTGTCTCACAGACGAGGAAACAGGCACTGGAAATGTAACCTCCCAGGGTACACAGTAATGCAGTGGACACAGGATTCAGAGTCATTCCCACCTGCCCTGCATGCATTTGGTGGCTCTGTGGTTCCAGCCCCCTGGTGGAGCGGAACAGAGCCCCACGCAGATCTTGCCCTCATGCTCATCTGGCGCAGACATGCACTGGGACAGCATAGATCACCCATGCCATTACATGCTGTCTTTCCCTCCCCCCATCTTTCTCTGTCATTGAGTAAATGTGCTTTATTTGTGTATTTATATGCCTGTAGCGTTCGGTTCCAGCCCAGTAGTCAAGATCAGCCTTGGAGCTTGGGTATGAAGGATTTTCTTGAGCTCCTCCTAACTGAAGGAGAACTTGCGTCACCACTGCTATACATGGTGAGACACCTCTGGGTCTTTTCAACAATGATTCATTGGGTGCCTTTTATGGGACAGGTAGTGTTTTACGCTGGAATTGCTCTGTTAAGCAAGAATGACCAAGTTCCTAACGTCATAGAATATGCAAATGAGATTTAATAAAAGGCACAAAGGAAAACAGAGCAAGCAATGGGTTAACCAGTGGCTGTGGCTGAGCTGCGTCTATGTTATGTGGGATGATTCTGAGGTGACACTGGGCAGAGACCTGATGAGGCAAAACGGGGAGCCCTGTGGAGATGTGGGTGCCAAACGCAGCGGAAACAGCAAATACAAAGAACCTGCAGCAAGAGTGAGTCTGACATTTTTAAGGAAAGGTGAGAAGGCCAGCATGACCAGAGGAATGAGCAAGAGAAAAGGGGGCAGAGGGTGAGGCAGCAGAGTGAGGCAGGGGCCCACTCCCGGGCGGGCCTGCGGTTAGGAGCAGGGACCTCACTCTCAGTGTACCTGGGAGGCTCAAGAGGATTCTCGGGGGCCTGCCCCTTAGCTCAGTTCTTTAAGTGGCTGCTTCAACCAAGCAGTCAGGCTCAGGTTGCTGAGGTTCAATCCCCACAACTCAAGCCAGCCAAACCTGCCCTGAAGGCATTTGGAGAAAAAAAAAAAAAAAAAAAAAAGGGATTCTGAACCGAGTGCCAGCATGTTTCACTTACACGTTCAAAGGACCGCTCTGTCAGCTGCAGACAATGATGTGGACTGCGAAGAAGCAACTGCAGTAGACTGGGCAAGAAATGTCAGGACTTGGGCTCAGGCTCAAGTAGCCAGCAGTAAAGAAGGGTGGGGCTGGGAACATATTTATAGCCACATCTGGGAGTGTAAACAGCAAGAGCTGGCAGATGGGATGTGGAGAGGAAGACAAGGACTCCAGGGTATGGAGGTGGACTTCTATTTGGGAAATGGTCCTCAGGAAAAGGAGAGAAAGTTGAGTGGTGGGGTCAGAAGGTAAAATGGGACTGGAGTCCGGGGCACAAAGGCTGTAGTTCTTGCCTGGGGAGCCTTTCCTGATGACACCAGGCCTGCAGGAGGGCACAGATCTGTCTTGCAGCCAAAATTGGTTATAGTTCCTTTCTCTGCTGAAAAGTCACCTCGCAGACCACAATGAAATTGTGCTTTTTTTTGTGTGTGTGTGTGGAGGAAAAGCCTTCTCACAGGGGTCTGTCAGCTGTCTACCACACATCACTAAAACTAAGTACATATGTATCTGGTATTAATCTGCAGCAACATATGACATCAGTGTCCAGGGCAGCGTTTCCTGGTTGTAGCACCTTGCCTTGCTTCATCCTTAGTGCCGTCTGCGTCCCTTACCCTCCCTCCTCACTCCTTGTTTTCTTAAACCCAAGCCAAAGTCCTTCCTTTCCTGGCTGGCCTCTGTAACACAGAAAACACTGCTTGGACACAGTAACCTTTGAAACCAAAGAATTTTAGTGCAGGAAGGTAGAGCTAGTCCAAATCTTCTTCTACTTTAAAGGACAGGGAAACACAGCCTGAAGAATGTAAGACTCCTGTGAGTTCCGACAGTCTGCACAACAGCCTGACCTTTCCAGAAGTAACTTTCTGTGCATCTAATGCATATCTAAGTTCCCAGATTTCCATGTAATACAGAGGCCTCTTGTTCCCGATCCTTCTGTATTAGCCAAGGGAGAAGGAACTAGGCAGAGAAAGGAAGGCAGTGTGTTCAATGTGTGTCTTTTACAAACATTATCATCACCCTAGTGAAATTTTCTGCAAGAAAGGTGATCTTCAGAAGCAGCTCTGCTTGGGAAACCCAGAAGTCAAATCCATGCTCTAAGGACTGTGGGGTGGTTCCCCTCGTGGATATAAATGTGTGGCAGGTGTGAGATCCCAGTGCAACCCCAGCACAGCTTACTCTCTGCCTGTCAATGTACAGATAGCTACATTCTGAGGAAAACCTGTGCATCACTGTTACATTCATTATCCTCTAAAGATACTGAAGGTTCTGCTAGGGCTATGACTGGTAGTGTGATGAGGGGGTTTGTTTTAATTGTTCTTTAGATATAATTAAACTCGTGCTGGACCTGGGAGCTACCAGTGCTCACGGAGTTTCCTTTGGGGGTGAGCATCATGCTCACATTAATGTTAATTACTGCATGCTCCATACGCCTCCTATTAAATACCCAACTTGCACCTTTGTCGCTGGTATCTCATCCCAAAGCTACCCATGGCTCAGATAAAACGTCAGAAACTGCGAATGTGAAGCACCAGGAACCAAGATAGTGAATATTCTACCACAGGTTATAAAGTGAAAGAGCCAGTGTTTGAGCACTTAATACCTTGGCTCTTGTTTGGTTGTTTTATTCTTGGGGAAGCCTTTTCTATCTTTCTTTTTTCTTTGGTAGGGTCTACAGGGTGTTCAGGGTCTTACTACTAGATCGCACTCCTAGCGATCCACCTGTCCCCAGCCTCCCAAGAGCTGGGATTACAGGTGCGTGCCACGCCCAGTCTCAATCGCAGTCTCACCCCAGCACCTGCTCGCAGGCGCTTTAATTCGCTGAGCTATTTGGCCGGTCCTGGGAAAGCCTTCTAATCTTTGGAGAGCTGGGCCTCTAAGGGGTATTTGCCGGTGGACCAAAAGTGGGGTGTCTGAGAACCCAGCCACACCTTCTGATGCCATTTATCTCTGGATTGTGGCTTTTTTCCTTTTAGATCACGCCCTGCTGGTTTTCTTTTCTTTTTTCGCTGGTTTTCTAGTGTCACAAAACACAGGCGCTACTTCCCGGGTGTGATGACCTCCAGGTATAACTTTGAGGAAAACGTGGATGAAGGGCAACTCAGAAGTGTAGTGCGCCTTCACTATGATGAAACAAACTCTTGGGAATGAGGCGTTCAGATAGCAGCCCCATAGACGCGGGTCTGTCTGGCAGCCGAGTCCTCGGCCAACCCTGCAGCTTAGCGAGAGGGACGGAGACCTCGGCACCAAGGGGCGCGGGGCAGGGCCGCTGCAAAAGGGCACGCCAGCGTGCTGGTGCTGAGCAGGGCGCAGGCGGCAGGGAAACAGGATCGGGGGAGCCCCGTGTCTCCCCCTCTCCTCAGCCTAATGTCCCCTCCCCGACTCTCACCCTAAGAACTCCGGGTAGCTTTCCCCCGCGGCCCTCCCCTCCACGGAAGCGCTCCCGCCGGCCCCTCCCCCCACCGCCACCTCCTGGGAACCCGGCTCGTGAAGTCTCACGCTGCGGGCTGGAGGCCTCAGCGCCCGGATCTCCAGCCGCCAAGGCCTACTCCCGCCCCCGCACCTGGACCACGCGCTGCCGTTCTTCCCCTTCTCCGCCCCTGAACATCTGGGCAAAGGGGCGAGCGCTCCAGATGTGGCTCCTGGGCGCCAGATGTGCGCGTCCCCGCTGGAACAGCCCCTGGGAGGGCGACAGCGCCTCTTCGTGAGCGACTTGGCGGCCCGGTTTGGGTTTGGACTCGGGGTCCCCGCACGCAGGCGAAACGGGAAAGTTCCCAGCCAGCTGCCCCCCGAGGCCGGGCAGCCCGCGTCGGAAAGCGGGAGGCTCCCCAGAGCGAGCCCCGCGCCCTCAGCCCGCCGGGAGCTGGGGCCGCACCTGGGACGCCTCTGACCGCTGTGGACCCCACCTCTGGAGTGGGGGTTGCGCTCCACCCGGTGCGGGCGTATCGGGGCGGGGAGAACTTGGTAAAGCCCGTGACTCAGTCTCCTTGGAATGTGCTTGAAATAATAACGCAGACCTGAGAGGACTTCGCAGCCGAGGTCGCTGGAGGAGACCCGGCGCGCCCGGCGGCCGAGGGGGGCGGTATTGCGGCGCGCAGAGCTGCCGCGCCCGCGAGCCGGACGGGAATAGCGCATCTGGTTTAGATCAGCCAGAAAGCATTTCTATCCGCGTACTTTAACGTCCTGCAGAGCCCCCAGAACAGGACAAACCAAATATATTCCGCGCACTCTTTAAACACACCAGTAAGAGACCGAATCACGATTACCACTGGGATTTCTTAAGTGTCCAACCATGCAAGTGTCGTTATTTTATAGATTTTGCAAATTTAACTTCCTTTCCTGAGCTTGTGTGTGGGCATGTGCTTAAGCGCTTAGGTTTACAAGCAACGCACAGCCTTGCCCTTGTTTTTTCTTCTTTTTTTTAACGTGGCCTTGGAATAGTTAAGTGTATCTGAGGCCAACATATGGGTTGCTTACAACCCTAAATATATAGCCGCGTCTCCCTCCTTTCAGACCCGCTCAATTCCAAATGCAAGTTGGAACAAAAGGAAAACGTGCCTGAGAGTAAAGGGACGACTTGAGCCAAGAATACAGTCGCATGCTAAATAACCTTGTTTTCTCCTACATCAGCGGCAGCGACCAAGCCCCGTTCCTGGCAGGTGGCCAGCAGTCTGTCTGGTGCTGGGCTGCTAATTAGAGAGCGCCCATAAACCTCCCCGGCAAAGAGGGCATGTGACCTTCCCTGCGAGTCCGAACAATGAAGCCCGCGGCTGCAGGCTGCACTCTACGCCCGCCCGCCGCCCCGCACTCCCTAAATAGGCACAGGATGAAGGCCAAGCTTACGGGTTACCATAGCTCTGCTCTCGCTCGCTGAGGAATCGCGCACTCCACTTCCCCGTATAACGTTTCAATTCCTTTCTCCAATCTCTTTGGAGCGGAGCAGCTTGAAGAGAGAGCCCATTGTCTAATCTAAATGAGGAAGCAATTATGACTCGCCGCAGTTTTGCGTGCTTTCAGACTGCTAGGTCAAAGATCAACCTGATCTCAAGTCACCTACTCTGCCCTTTCGAAGCTCTATCCTTTTCTCGGCCATTGTTTAGGCCTGCTTTCGGAGACTTTTTCTCCTACTAAGCTCCACCCCCATCTTCAGTATCCTTTCTAGTTTTAGAATTTTTTACTGTAAAGACAACTATCTCGGGGGCCGGGGAGATGGCTCAGTGGAATAAGCGCTTCCGTGGCAAGTGCAAGGACCTCAGTTCAATCCCTGGTTCTGGGGAAAAAAAAAAAAAAAAAGACAACTATCTCCATAGATTGCTTGAATATTAAAAATATCTGTGCGAGTATAGGAATCTTCTCAGAATACAGCAAAATAGAGTTCTATCTTTCTTCTCTGTCTAACTGACCGCCCTGGGAGCCCCCTTGCTAGCTTTAAGTTTATGCAATGTGTTGTAAACTATAAATAGCAGTTCTGCTTGCCTAGAACACAACTTAGGGAAACTTGCTAGATACCTAGCTTGCTTTCAACTTAAAGACTGAAGTTAACCTCTTGTGTAAACAGGCATTTGGCCTTTTGTGTGTGTGTTTATTAGCTGTAGCCCGGTGTCAAACAACACTGAATTCCTGGGCTGGGAACGGAGCACATAAAAGCGGTCACTGGGTGTGGTTCGCAGAGAGGAAGGAGGGCAGGCAGGCGGGCTGGGCAAAAGCTGCGGGCAGGTAGGAAGGCAGGGAAGCGTCCAAATGGAGAGACAGCCTCTCTTCCAGCCTGTTTCTCTTAGACAGTGAATGATGATAAAGCATGTCTTTTTCCAATTCCCTTACTGAAGCTTGTCCAAGAGCCAAATCTATTACTGTCTAAAAAACTTAATGCCATCGATTTTCTGATGGTCTGAAGGTGCGGATCTCAATACATACAAAGTAAGAACCACTTCTCTGCTAGTTTTTGAAGTATGTTATTTCCAGGGTAACCAAGTAGAATAGAGGTAACAAGTCTGGGTCACCATGAGATTTTCTGTTTGTGAAGGAGAGACAACTCTTCTCAAAGGGTAAAAACAGGCTGGCAGAAAACATTACCTCAGCCAAGGATAAGGGCCAGCAGAAGGCTGGTACACTGCAATTCTTTTCCCAAATAAACCACATACTACAACACTCCTTTCCTTTGTAAGACAATTTGATAAAATCTCAATTATTGTTTCTATATACTGAATTAGTCAAGCAACTCTGTATCTTGACATGTATTTCTTTTGAAACTTAATTTAAGACAGCTTGGCTAGGCCACAGTACCCAGACATTTGGCCAAACGCTAATCCAGATGATGCTGGGAAGTATCATCTTGGCTTTCTAATGAGATGAAATTGAAGTCAGTAGACTGAGTAAAACAGATTACTCTCTATAACGGGAGGGGGCCTCATCCATCAGCCGCAGAGGGAATCCTGAGCTTACTTGCAAAACTGACTCTTACCATGGCTTCAGCCTGCTCATCCACTCTGCTGATTCTTGAACTGTTAGCCCTAAACTCACGCGATCTTTATGATCTGTCTTTCTCCAGAGAACTCTGACAAACCCAGATACCTACTTGTGGACTCCAGGAAGTGTCCTATAGCTTTCAAATTAAGAATAACTTCACATGGGCCTGGCATTGGCTAGGGAGAAATCTCTCCACCTTACCCGACCGTTTCCCTGTTCTGGGGGACAGCGTCATGTCAACACACAGGAGGATTCAGCTGGGTTCTCTAGCAGGCTTCGTCATTCCCGGTCCTCATTCATCTTTATTTATTTTTTTTTTTTGGTGGAACCGGGTATTGAACTCAGGCCCTTGCACTTGCCAGGGAAGTGCTTATTCTACTGAGCCATCTCCCCGGCCCCATCCTCATTCATCTTTGTTAAATCTCAGCAACCAGAAAATAACTCTGCTTGCAAGGCCAATGTGCAAAAGCATCTGGTCCTGTTCTTCATTTTCGCTTTCTGCAGTCTTCTTGTCTGTATTTCCCAAAGTTTACAGTTGAAAACATAGCGCAGTTGCATAAGCACTTGCCTGGCAGGCACAAGGTCCTGAGTTCGACTGTTGTAAAGGATAAAATAACCCATATGCCTTTGACTAATCCAGTGGTCAAAATGCATTTTAATTTCAACACAATCAAGACAGAAACATTAACTGAACCCTCACCGTTATATAAACAGCTATTAATAGCACCTTCTAAGAGAGGCACTGTTTTAAATAGGCACCGAACAACAACAAAATAGTACTTTAAAAATACTGTTGGAATTCACTAATATATCCCATTCCACATAAATTACTGCTTTTTCTTATAAAAATGTCAATACCCTTAGATACAAACTGTTAAATGTAAATCACCAAAAATATTTAAGTTTAGAATGCTGTTCAGTTCCAAGAAAAAACATGCTTTAGTTAAAAAATGAATTAGAAATGATGTAAACCTAAAGTAGCAAAGTATATAATCAGGGACCAGGGAAATAACTCAGTAGAATAAGCCCTTGTCTGGCAAGCGCAAGGTCCTGAGTTCAATCCCCAGTTCTGCCTAAAAAAAAGGAAAGGAAAGAAAAGTATATAATCAAGGCTAACCTAAGCCGCGTAACGAGCGAGACCCTGTCTCAAAAAGACAAAAGTATCCACTGACTGCTTATCGTATAAAATAGCCCTGTTATACCTGTGTGGTACCTAGGTCAAAGAGGATAGAATTAAAGGTGACTGCTCTTTTTTAAAAAGCTTTTTTTTTTGTGTGTGTGTGTGTGTAGAAACAACACGAGTTTGAGTCTGCATTTTATTACTGAAATACTTGTCCTACCCACCCACCCCACAATAAAAATCTTACCCTTGACCCTGCCCCACCCCCAGGCACCCGCCCACCCACCAGGCACAAGCGTG